AGCAGAACAGGGTGTAAGAGAGATAACAAAAAGACAAGATTTATTAAGAGCTACAAAGAACACTAAATTGAGGCAAGCTAGGAAAGCCAATGTTCTGAAGGGTATGACACATAGAAGATGGCAATGCTGATTTTCTATGTGCAAACATAGAAAATCCTTAATGATGGATTGTATATGAGTTCCACTTGAGATCTGGGGTGAACTCTAGTCCCAATAGACATTCTGGGCAAGAAGTATCATTGAGAGTACAAACATTCATCATGTTTGGAGAAAAGCCAGTATCTGTTTTAGCGATATTGAATGTACAAGCCATTTTTTTTTCCATTGAGCTGTTAGAGAGAGATTGGGTTTCAAGAAAGAAGGTTTAGTTGTGGTATCACCATTATTTCTAGTAATGGCAAACATGTACATGGAACACTTCAAGAAAATTGCTATAGGGATGTTATCATGTGCAAGCACTGCTGTACCATTTGAACTGAACTCAATAAGAACTTCCATAGTTTTCACAATGAAAAAAAGAAGCAGAATATCAACTAGCCTTCCTGGATGTATTAATAACTTGTATAGAGTATAGATTCAATGCAGTTGCATATCAAACTACCATTCACAAGACTATTTGAACTTCAATTACTACATCTTTCTATACTCATAAGTGATAACCCAGGCACATACCAACATGAGAAATACTATTAGAAACACCCTACAAGTAATAACTACTCTGCAAGCATAACACCAGCTTCCATGAAGAGAAACAGTATAGTTTAGGACAATTAAAAATCTACCACATTATGTCTACATAATGAGTACCTGAAGAGTTTCAGATGATCTGTTGTCAATCAAACAAAAGGCAGTTAAACCAAAACGAAGCTCCACTTAGAAGGAAATATGACCAAGAACTATAATTATTCCATCCCATACAGTTATGGCAAGGAATAAACTGCCTAGACCAGTTGTTCCCTAAAGGTAAGGGTGGAGGGACATAGAAAGGCTGTAATCCAAGGAAAGATGCTGAAATTAAGCATGGTTGATCATGTATGGAAAGAAGAGAGTAGACATCAATTCTTGTGAAATTAAATCATAATAGAGAAACAACACTGGAGAATAAAACAACAGGAAGAATCAGTGCACAAGTTAGCCACTGACAACCTTTTCAGTAGACTTCTTTTTTATTATAACTAAATTTTCACCCACTACAAAAGCCCAAGAGCCACTCATGATAGAGGATTACTAACAGAGGCTGTTGTATGCATGTAAGAGGAGGAAGTAAATGCAGATTATGAGGATATGTAAGATAGATAACGGTTGACTCTAGACTTGGAGAGGTTAAGATTGTAGTGATAGGGGAGGCATCCTCTGGAGAGAAATATTCCGCAAAGTAGAAGTTCTTGAGAAGAAGTTGCCCAAGCGGAACTTCCTTCTTACCAATGGAATACAAAAGAAATGAGGATGATTCCTCCCTGTATACATGGTATAGCAGTTCTAGCTGTAAAGGTATGAACTGGTGGAACTAAGGAATGTAGTTTGCCTGAACAAGTGACAGGCTTGCTACAGTGTCTGTGGGAAAGTGGCTGTAGGTCTGATAAGGCCATGTAAATGCTTTTGAACTTTATCAAGACTGGAAAGTGAAGGATTGGGTAGCTCCGACCCAGATATGGCAGAAATAATTTTTGCCTGATCTGACACTTGTAAAAATAGAGCATATCAGGAGGAGTCTGATACTTTCTTGAGCAGCACAAGGAATCAAACATTTCTTGAGCATCCTTAACGATGGATTGTATACAAGTTCCACTTGAGATCTGGGGTGAATTCTAGTCCCAATAGACATTCTGGGCAAGAAGTGTCATTGAGAGTACAAACATTCATCATGATTTGAGAAAATTCAGTGTCTGCTTTAGTGATATTGAATGCACAAGCCATTTTTTCTCCATTGAGCTGTTAGAGAAAGATTGGCTGTAATCTTAATTTTTTGAGGTGCTTTTGTAAAGCGTGGTATCATTAACATAAATATTTACTAATTATCAGAGTCTGTTACTGGATGATTAATATAAAGCAAAAATAGTATGGACTGAGGAAGGAACCTTGAGAGATACCTACATTGGTTTCAGAAGACCAGACATTAATGAAAACCTTCATGGATCTACCCAATAGATGGATAGTTTGTGTAGCAACCCCCTATACTTTACCTCATCAAAGGCCTTTGAGATATCCAAGGTTTGTGATGAGTTTATTATTTAATACTTTGCTGATTCTGTGTGTAGGACATCAACAATGGATCTGGAGGAGCAAAATCCATACCGTTTGTTGCTTTTGTTACACCATTAGACCTAACACAGAAATTAATACTATCAGAGAGCCTCTGATTAAGGAAAAAATGGACACTACCCAAGAACAGATATTAATGTTTAAAACTCCAAAATGACATCATTGCATTACCAAAGACAGTGGAATAAAACATTGGTTAAAATATGTGATTTCCTAGCAGGGTCAGATAGTTCAGGTTCACTGAAAGAAATGAACCTGTAAAACAAAGGCAAAGACTGTCTATATTTCTGAGATGAGGTATTATTTACATTATTCAGACTATTAACCTCATCTTTGTCGCCATATTTATCACAACGTTTCGGCCGTTGTACACTCCGGCCTTCTTCAGGTGGTTTGAATGTTGAACTTTATTTCGCTCACTTGGGGTAGAATGTTCTAGTTCCACGTGCCATGTTTGATGGATGTCAGTTATCTCCTGCTAATTTCCCTCTGAAAGTTCTCCACTGCCTTAACTGGGTATTGAACTCACACTCTTTGGGTCCTGTCACTGGATCTAACCAACTCCTTTATCCACTGTGCCATGTGTCCTTGAGGACATCTGGGTATGAATTTCTGGGTATAAACCTAATGTCTTCAGCAACCATTTTTACCAGTGCTCATATTGCAATTTTGCTGTTATCATTGCATATTTTTACCAGAGCTCATATTGCAACTTAAGGAATCAGCACATATGTTAGGCCACAAAAATCACCTGAGCCGACCAAGCATAGAAATAAATACAATATGGGAGTGCCAGAGAAAAGCAATGATAGCAACAAAGTTTTTTGGGGGTTGTACACAATTTGCCCATAGCTGGGACTCTAACAGATACTACCACTCCAGGTCAGGGTGAACCAGGGAACAATGATAATTAAGTGATTCCATGCTCCTCAAAACCTCCAATTTCCCAATCAGAGGCCTTGCTGCTGGATGTATCCATTGACTGAATAAAGTATTTGGTACAAAATTTTGAAAAGATTAACAAGTATGACAGGCAGCTGAAATAGTGTGGAGTTAGGAGCATAGCAGACAAGATGAGCATACTAACTCAAATGGACAGGTAAAAAAAAAAAAAAATGTTAATTCTACATTTAAAAAAATCCAACTTCACTAAGAACACAGTTAAAAAAAAAAAAAAGGGATATTGATCTAAGAAATTTGTGTTCATAGAAATGCCACATAAATTTCTCAAACTTGATGAATTATAAATATTCTAATATATGAAAAAAAATGTTTTCATTCTGTACTCTTGCATTGCATATCATCATATAAGTGACAAATACCATCCTGTGATACATATTTTTTTGCTTCTTGTAGGTATCCCAAACTAAATCTATATCTAAAAAAAAAAAAAAAAAAAAAAAAAAAATAATAATGTTTAATACAGACAAAGAGCTTGACAAATCCTAACAAAATGATATCAAATATATTTTGGTAGCACAAAATAACACAACAGAGATAAGTTAAATTTTTATTTCAGTAGTACATCAATAAAAAATCCATATTTACACCATGTCAAAACAGCCAGAAGCGCAATTTGAAAGTTGGACAAAAAGAGGTCAAAAGTATACCATCCTGAACTTGTCATAAAAAGTATCCATTGGAGATACATGTCTGAACTTTAAAACTACTAATTTTGGCATGAGGAATTCAATAAAACAATTCTTTCTCATGCATATATCTAATTTTGGAAGATTTTGTGAAATTATACAAATCTTAACTTGTTAAAAAGGGACAGTAACAATTACAAAACTTAGTAATTTGTTTCAGGAAATTAATCATTGGTCAATCCTTCAAAAAGCTTTAAAATAGGTACCACTACAGAAAATGTGATATCTAAAGTTTTATAATGAATTTTTAAAAATGAAAAATCTTTCTTGACACTTTCATTTTAGTTTTAATGTCATGTTAAATTTAATATTTCCAATAAGCAAAATACTTTACTGTATTTCAAATAATTTAAACTGACTTTTTTTGCTAAATTAGCTCACTTTTTTTAATAGTCTTTCATCACAAAAAAAACCTTCCAAAAATAAAATATACTTTTCTGAAACTTTATTTAAGTAATATTAGCTTATTTAAAGTATAATTAATCTGATTTGAAACAAATATCATGTACTTTAAGTTTAATGTGTGAAACTGAGCTAATTAATCTCTTTCCAACTGACAAAGCCTCTCTATACAATCAGCACCAAGTTTGCAAGCAAAAAACTTTCTATTTTCTCTTGCATGGAGTGTTTTATTCCAAGCTGATCTCGCAGAAAATTTGCATATACACAACCTCTCTCACCAATTCTCCTAGCTCCGAGACTGTATCTTTCTTAAATTAAGGTGTCAGGGAAGCCATATTTCTCGGAGGCCACAGTCTATCAGAGTCAGGTAATGCATAATATGAATAATGTGTTATGCCCATCCTCACCCTGCTCCAATTCTTGCACACATCCAACTTTCCAATGCACTGGCGCAGGGTCAATAGATTGTCACACTTCACACTCTCCACCACCTTTCTTTTCCTTCACTCATTTTGCATGCCAGGCATATACGTGTTCACTTTGCCACATGAGGTAAGTCATCTTATTTTACACTCTTCTCTGATCTCCTGATCACATAAATGACAAAGTGATAGCAGTTGCCTTCATCAAGTACTTCTATGTAAAAGGTGGATGGGATCCACCCGGCTCTTCTGTATGTGTGCCCACTTGGTCTCTTTTGTTATTGGCATTATCATCATTGTCTTCAGCATCTGTTTCTGCTGGTTCCATAGATGAATAATCTGGCCCTGCACTGAAAAATAGCAGCAAATTTGAGTCGCTTTCAGACGACTTATCACTGCCATCATCTTCTGACGATGCAGATCTCTGACGTGGATGGAGGTCTCTCATTTGGTGTAGCATTCTATTGATGAGAACTGAATGTGGGCTGTAGAACTCTGTCACAGTTCCTTTTTTGAATTGCGTCAATTATCGATCATGTGGGGTTTTTACGCATACCACATCTTACACTCTGTAGATTCCTGGATCTATGTGCTCCAGTGGTAGTGCAACATCGACATCCTTTATGCGGGCTTTGTAGTTGTATATAGAATTAGCTGGTGCTGACGAAGCTGTTGCGTCATCTTTCGGCATCATGCTATACCAATATGATGCCTCCATAATGGAGGCATCATAAGCCAAGCAGTGATACGCCTCCCAAGCCAAGCAGTGATACGCTTGATGGTGCGATGACATCTCTCTACAATGTCATTCCCTGTTGGTTGATAGGCACACAGGAATCTAAGTTGGATGCCCCAGTTCTCTGCAAACCTCACGAACACCTCCCCACAGAATACCTTGTCATTGTTAATGAGCAGCTTAGCAGGTGACCCTGTCTCGCAGAATAGCAACTCCAGCTCTCGGATGATGCTGGCAGTGTCCTGATGTTGTAATGGTTGCCAACTAGGGCCACAGTCTGTCAGAGTCAGGTAATGCCAGCCTTTATAATGTGTTATGTCCATTCTCACCTTGCTCCAATACACACACATCTAACTGTCCAGCTTTTAAAATGCACTGGCACTGGGTCAATGAATTGACAAACTTTGCAATCTCCAACTACTGCCTGAGAAGCTGCCTTTGAGACCTCAGGGTGGATGTCTTAGAAAATACAAGGTGTGCTTCACACCGGGATGCCCACTATGTCGATGGATGGCTTGAATGTGGGTTGATTCCTGCTCTTCTATGTGGCGCACACTGGTTCTGTTTCTTTCCAAACCACAGCCAACATTGAGGGACTCTAGTAAGTTGATTGGCTTGGTTTGCATCTGACAAGCTCTATGTCAACAGTCAATTTATATTCCTTCACCAGTTCCTTGATTGTGCAGAGCCAATGTCTTAACATTTCTGCCACTGCCTTCATGCACACTCAAGACTTTTCAGTTAGTGTATCGATGCACACACATTGAGTCAGTATTCAGGTGAACCACAGTCGCTCTCCATTGCAGTGCTATGTTGGTGCCTCTCAAGATCGTGTCAAGCTTTGCCAGGTTGATATGCTTGTCTTCACATTCTAATCACAGCCAACAGGCATCTTCAACCAGAGATTCACTGCTTTCCACAATGACACTAGTGGCCAAGGAGTTTGCCTCAACCCACAAGGTAACTTTGTGTTCATCAACACACCAATCACCTTGTGCTGGGTCTTGCACCTCATCATCCCAGCCAGTCATAACAGATTTTATACCCCATTTTATGAATGCAGTTGTGACATGGAGCCAGCCACATACTGGCAAATGTCCAGTCAACTTCCCACACAGAGATATGTTTTGATTAGTAAGCATGTTAGGTAATGGTGGGAGGTCATTCCCACAACTTCATTACAATTTGTCCCGATCCTCCTAAACACGTAATCCCAACATATGAGTATCACTCTCTAAACGCTCTGGATCCTTACTTGTTATGTCATGTTATATGCTGAGATGTGCCCTTCCAGATGCTGCAGTGTATATACTCTCATTGATAAATATGTCATCAATGTACAAGAATGTGGCTCCTGGGTGGTCTTTACAATTGATTGCATGATTAGCAGTGCCACATTGAGCCCAAAATCCAAACAAGTGAGGCAATACCATTGTCTGTCTTATCTGCACTGTTTGAAAGGGCCATAATGATTTGTCAACATTGATCTGCAAATAGCACGGTGATATCCAGTTCTTCCTGCCACCACTCCCTCAATTTTTGTGTGTAAACATCTACATCAGTGGTGTGTATGTCAACATACTGATTGAGCTGCTAATAATCCATGACTGGGCGGACCTTCTGTTTGTTTCTCTGTAGCACAGCCATTAGAGGGATAAGGCCCTTGGGAAGAGGGGCCCAAGTTCAGCAGCTATCTATCCACGTTCGTAGCTCACAAGTATACTCCTCCCCTAGCGGCTTTGGTACTGGATACTCAGCTGTCCGGTTCTTCAACACAGGTGATGTCAGGTCACCAGATCACTTCCAAGACATAACCCAGATCTTCCTGTTCTGGTTATACACCGTATGGAAATCAGACTCATTGATGGTGTTGGCCACGCATAAAGATTGATCAAGTTGAGGAAAGCTCAGTCATCGCTGGACACACACACACTCCTCCCAACTTCTTGATGATGTCAAATCCAAGCAGCAATGTCAAAACCAAGCAATTTTCCATCAACAACCAGAACCTCAACATTGATAGGAGGCCTGTTGCTCATGTCCTACCCCAGAGCAACTGAGAGTCCTTTCACCAACAGTGAGCACATCTGCTTCTTTCCTCTTCCAAGAGCAACAAAGCAGTCTGCTTATGAGCAATCAAGAACAGCTTGTGTCTAGCAAGTCTAAACTCCTGATTCCATTGATATGTACAGCAATTGCGGGTAGTGCCTCTTTCGTAATGGAGCTCAGAGAGTAGACTGGCACAGAGGCCTATTCCCCTGGATCATTTCCTGGGCAAATTCCAGATTAAATAGCCTACCATGTTGCACTTGTAACATCACATCTGGGGGTGTCTGCCTTTCAGTATGCAGTCCTTTGCAAAATGATTGGGAACATTGCAACAATAGCATGTAATGGAGCCATATGGATCCCCAGTAGGAAGCTTCCTCACCTCATCTAGTGTTGATCACACTGCCACAACTGCCATTAGTTTCATAATTGCTCATGCTTGAGTCAACAGCTGGTCAATAGACAATTTGTCCATCCAGGTCAAAGCAAAACAGATATTTAACACGGTCTAGTAACCCTTGCCTGAATGCACATGCCAGGCCACAGTCTGCTGAACAGGATGGAAGGTTTTTCTTAACTCTGCTAGATAGACATCCACCAGTTCTCCAGGATGAAGCCATTGCTCAGTGAATTGCTTATAAGCGAGAAAACCATCCATAGCAAAAGCTGTGTATAGTGCGGATTTTATCTGTCTGAAATCCTCTTTTTCTTTCTCTCTCAGCTGTTGGTAGACAACAAATGCACCACCCATTAACCTTATAGGGACTACGTTCTGGATGTTTTACCAGGCACATCTTACAGACCAGCTCAGCCTTCTCAATCCATTCGACCACAGATGGTCCAGATACAAAGCTTAACTCGTCAAACTTCAAACTTCACCCCATCATTTTCACTGAAATAGCTTGTGTGATCTCTTTCCAACTGACAAAGTCCCTCCATACAAGCAGCACCCAATTCACGAGCAAAAAACTGTGTATTCTCTCTTGCATGGTGTGCTTTATGCTGAGCTGATCTTGCAAAAAATTTACATATACCCAACCTCTCTCACCAGTTTTAGCTCTGAGACGTTGTCTTTCTTAAATTAATGTGTCAGAGTAGTCATATTTCTTTTTCCTTTTCTTTACTCGTTTTGCACACCAGGCATATATGTGCTTTCTTTGCCACACAAAGTAAGTTGTCTTCTCTTCTACATTTAAAATATTGCAGAAATGCATTTTTTATCACAGCTGTAGCTGTTTATTTAAGCTTTTGACATGTTTGATAGCTTCATGTTTATCTGATGTTTTTCTATGGGGGCTTTAGTTGTAAAAAAATCATTGAATATAATTGGAGAGCTTTTTATACATAATTTTTAAATACTTAGTAATCTTAAAAATTTAATAAAATATTCTCCATAATCTCATGTTTTATTGGATTTAGATACTTTATGGTTTTAAATTTACTATAATTATTGTTTTGTATTTTCTGATGTTATATATGGGCTACCATATCCACAAAAATCAGCACATTTATACACATACAAAAAAAAATTCAAAATTCTTTTTAAAATATTGGTATTTGATGATTTGTACTAAGCTTTTCTATTTATGATTAGTAAATATAGTTTTTATTTAATATCTAAAAAGGGTGAAATTAATAAGAATTTTTAAAGAATTACAACTCAATAAATTATTCTAATTAAATTTTTTTTTAAAATGAAACCAATTCTTATAAAAATTCATTATTCATCCGAAAATTTTGTATAAAAAGCAATTAAAAGCTTTTCTAATTAAATAATGTCAGTTTTATTGCATATTTTATTTTATGATTCAGGGCAGATTTTCGATAAATGGTGTTTGTGTTTGAGAAAAACAAATTGATGATTTAAATTGTCCAAGTACTGCTCTTAAATAATATAACTATGAAGAGGGTGGAATTTTAATTTCTCAAAAATTCATAAAATTAAGCAAGTCGGGGTAACAGATATAAAAAAAAAATAATTATATATATATATATATATATATATATATATATATATATATATATTCCTTTGTGATTAAATATTCATTAAAATCTGACAATTATTTGAGTTTTACAAGAATTTCCAAAACAATGAAGAAAGGGCCTAAATTTCCCATACTGATGCAAGAAAAACAAGATGACGAATGGGCTGGAAAGGATTTAAAAAATTAATAAAATAATAAAAAATACTTGGTCTTTAATTCTTAATAATAAAGACTTTACATTATTTGAACTATTGTCCTCATCTTTGTTGCCATATTTATCACATTTTGGCTGTTCTACGCTCTGGCCTTCTTCAGGTGGTTGGAATGTCAAACTGAACCATTTCTTTTGCTCCCTGGGGTAGACTGTTCTAGTTCCATACCTAATGGATGTCAGTTATCTCCTGTTAATTCCCTTCTCCAAGTTCTCCACCTTAAGGAGACATGGCACAATGGATAAAGGCTTTGGTTAGATCCAGTGACAGGATCCAAAGAGTTGTGAGTTCAATACCTGGTTAAGGCAGTGGAGAACTTAGAGAGGGAAATTAACAGGAGATAACTGATAACTGACACCCATTAGACATGGCATATGGAACTAGAACAATCTACCCCAGTGAGTGAAATAAAGGGTTCAGTTCAACATTCCAACCACCTGAAGAAGGCCGGAGCATACAATGTCTGAAACGTAGTGAT